ATGAAAATGAGTGTAGCAGGGAGGCAACGGAGCCTGTGTTGGTAATTCATTTTTAACATTATACTTGTGTGAGTGTTTAAAGTACAGTCGTCGCATTACCTTAATGTGTAGTTTGGACGAAATTTGAGAGGTTTTTTTTTATTTATACCTAATGTATGCGATCAGTTAAAGCACTCTGTGAATTATGTCCGATGAAATGGTGGAAGCTCGGAAGACTTGTTGATTTGTCTTACTTATATAATTTGCATAAAAAGACTACAATGGCCGATACATCGAACTCTTAATAAGTTTGCATACAAAAAGTTACATATAGAAATGTTTCAGTAAACATTAGAGTTTCCAGTAATTAGTTTTTTTTGTACGAAGTAAATTAATATAATTATTTTTCCTCTAATGTGAAAAGCTTTTCCTGAGTGTACTGGGCGCGAATTCGCATTGTACTCCCCTACACACACCTACACGCACTAGCGTGATCATAAAACGCAATTTTGTATTAGATTTAATTTGAGTCGCACACACGTGGCGGTTTGCGTGTGTGTGTGCGCGGAAGTGTGCCGCTGCCTACGCACAAATTGATTACGATCGTCGAAAGAGGAATTTGCATAGACGTGCTGAAGGTACTGCGAGAAGTGGTGTAGGCAGCGAGTAGTGAGTAATGTAATGTATTGGGCAGTCGGGAAGTTTCCCGCGTGCGTTCGCATGCGTGATATCAAGGCATAGTGCAAGTGCAAGCGTCTGAGACGCGGCATCAGTTAAGGCGCGGCCCTCGCCCGCCGCGGCGCGCCGCCGAGTGAGCGCCCGATTTAAAAACTATACGAACGAACCTCCGCGCAGAGAACCCCGTAATACCACCCCCCGCGTAATGATTTTTTGGCGATGAATTTATATTCGCGCGCGAGCGGTGCCACTTTTTCGACCCCCCACCGACTCCCCACCCCTCTCATTAACGCAACCCAGATATGCAATTCTGATCTTTGACGAGGAGGCTGTAGTGTCGGCGGGCGCCTCGGCGGGAGTGGAGCCCAGTTTTGTTTTTTACCCGCCCGGCTTCATTATTGATGGCATCGGTACGGTAATGCGGAAGCATGTGTGAACGTTTCATTACAAAAGGTGGACGCTGCCCGCGTTAATATTGCAGACTCGCCGGACCCGGCCGGACGGGAGGACGCTTCCGATACGCCGCACCGACAAAAAAGAACATAGTCCTCGCACTACAAAAATAAAATAAAACAATTAAAAAATAATAAACAAAATTAAATTTAAACTCCGGGGTCTCGGTGCTTTTTTTAAATTTCTTCGTACGCGGCGGAACTATTCGAGCGCGTGTCTGCGAAAGTTTTCGGTGGAAGTTTGTCGAAAGTTAGTGAGGTGCGTGTGTGGCCGGCGCGCTCGCGTGACGGATTGCCCGCCGTCCGGTCTCGCCTACGAACTTTTCACGCGGCACATATTTTTTTTTGTTGTTTTTCTTTACGTTTACTAGTGCACCTCGCCGACGCCGTCGTCGACGCGGCCTCAGTTTGTTTATCCGGCGCGGTGTTGCCTTACCGGACATTGACTTGTAGTGTATTTGTTGATGTTTTGTTTATTGTTTTTGTTACGTTTTGACGCCGAGCGAGCTGGTCGAGAAACGAGGTAAGTGCTATCACATAACATTACGCTAGGGAAAAAAAAACTAACATAGTCACCTACACACGAATGTTTTATTTTTTTTAATTGTAAATTAAATTCGATGGATATGCAAAGATATTTAAAGTTTGCACTATTGTTATTAAGGATGATGTGCGTAATGTTACGATTTTAATTTGTCCTACGAATTATTGCAACCCTTTGTAGAGTAAACTATTATGATGTTAATAGCGAAGTGGTGATCGCACAGTGTCGGAGGGTCCAGCCGCGCTGCACGCGGACCCAGGCCTCGACATTAGATCGACCTGCATAAATAATTAGTTCACAAGAATAGCTAAGGATTTTGCACCATTCGTGACGGTTAAACCGCATTCGATGTTCAAATGATTATAAAAAAATATTTAGATATCTTTAGGGATTATTTCTGTTTAGTTGTTTATATCAAAACTATCTTATTTGACTATAATTTCTTAAAGGATTATTGTAACTTTTTTAACTTGCAATATTTGACATATTAAATTAAATTTTTAATTAAAATACCAAATATCCTAAGTAAATTCTAGATAAAATGTTTTTATGGATACATAAATTGTTGTGACATTGTGAAACCATAAAGTATTATTTTGTTAATTAAAGAAAATTGATTATTCAACAGATTAAACTCGTCACAAGACATTTCTGCAAATTTTAAATATTTTGTCATTATAAGCTTGTTCCTCAGAACAGAAGAACTAAAAATCATTTCTTTGTAAAACACATCGAAGAAATACTATTTTAAAAAAGACAAGCTATAATTTTATTTACTCTTTATTTAGCTTTCACCAGTGACTCCATTCGCGTAGGATTTAAAAAAAAAAACAAAAACAGGTCTATACATTCTTCCAGACTATTCTCTACTTGTAAGCTAAATTTCATAGAGATCCGTTTAGCAGTTTAAACTACAAACTCTAACAAACATCCATCCATCTATCTAAACTTAATTTATAACACAAGTAAGAATTAAGATTGTTTTTATTTTTACATAGCTTTCTCCTAACGTTATGAACAAGTTTATGTTCTTATTATTCCAATACGAAATAGGGTATTTAGTTAATTTACTTGTACATAAAAATTATAAAAAGTAAGACATTTTATTTTATATTGCTCTCAGTCAAAAACTAATGGACTGATTAAATTATTCATTTACCTTTAAAATGCTACATTATCTCCAAGTATCCACTAAATTGATTAAGGCCACTACATAAAATTTTTAAGAATCCACTCATGCAAAACCTACAATATAGCGCTGATATAACATAACACATTTTTACAACCTTAATTAACGAAGATTCGCAAAACCTATTGTCTGTATTCTATTATTTTATGCATTCCATCGATAAAAAACTCATCAGTTTCATATTTATTTTTCCCTTCCCTGTCTGAATTAGACAGACACTTAAAACTATCGTATATCAAACATACTCAGTATAAATATTTAAACAGCTGGTATTATCACATCTAAATTTTAACATAATGTAAATCATAAGCTCTTATTGAAGTAAATACACAAATGATAATTATATACAAGTCCTTGCTACATGTTCAGTACATAAATAGTTATAAGTACATAACGAAGGATAACAAAATTACACTTCGTTAGTAAGTAAAACTTACTGGTCTGAATATTCATACAACTTGTATGAAATGAGTAATATTGCTACTAATACTTAGAGTAAGTTAGTTACATAAGAAAACACCGATTACCACAAGTTCTTCGTCACTATTTATTAATAATTTTATTTGCAAACCATGTTTATATGTAAATAAATTGATTAAGGTAAAAAGATCATTATTAAAAGAAATTGTTCTTAAAATTATCAACATAAATATAACAAAACCACTAAATAATAATGAACTTTCGTAAAACAAACAAGTTTTATTTTTTAATAAAACTAATTGAACAATAAACAATCATAAGTAACCTCAAACAGCTTAAATATGACGTAGATATGTACCACGTAATTATAAGACAAAATGTTACGCATGTTAAAGTTAAGTTATGTAAAACGGTTGTTTCGACAGCGGATTGTATTGTATGAAATGAGAAGTACAAAATAGTAACGACAACGATAGTGGCATCGTCGTTATGTGTGCGCACCGAAAGCGCGCTAAAAGCTCGTGTTGCAGCTCGTAGCTTGCAAGACTCACGCGCTGAGCTTTGCACGACCCCTGGCTACGCGCAGCTCTGCTCGCCCGCTTTGTGTACTTGTCTCTCAATCTGTTCAAGCAATCCTTTGTATGTCGCTAAGTGTAACTGGTAATTGTGATGACATTGAAATTTCTAGATTAAAGCAAAGACCAACGGCTTTCGTCATTTTTAAAAGTAGAAACTGTTTAGTATTCGGTTTTGATTTTTGTCTTCACCTGGTTGGATAAAAATTAAATTATTGTTTGCTCCTGTTATAAGACCTTCGAAGTCTATTGAATCATTCCTTTTTAATTTATTCAAACACAAGGAAAAGAGTGAAAACAAAATAAAAAAAAAAGAGAAAGGCGGTAACGACATCGGCCGTCCAGACGATCATCGATTCCGCGTCTATCTACGAGGGGAGAAATCGCACATAGAACACCAGACTAGGAAAAAGTAAAAAACGGTGACAGACTCATTCCGTTCTCCGTCTCCATCCTAATCGCGTCCCCCACGCACGCGCGGCTTTTTAATTGCATCCCCAGCCCCCACCCCGGAAAAAAGGGCGAGTGTACGATGGATTAGCATAGGGCTGTACGTAAGTACTTGTTTAGGAGCCGAAAGGAAAACGTTGTCGCGAAACGTACCGCCAACTCCACGCGGAAATTTATTATTTCTTTAGGAGTGCGTGATAATTTTTTCTCAAAATTCCAAATCTCCCGGTTCTAAGAAATCAAATAGAAGCTACCAAGTAATTTGAAAGTATCTATTGCTTAACTGTGAAATATTTTTAAAGAACGTGTTATGTTGATATTGAAATTCGCTATAATTTTGCATTTTTCGCATTGAGTGGTCCTGAAAAGAAAGTTACGTAGTAAACAAGATAACGTAAAAGTTGAATAGGGAAAATTCAGTCTGTCGAGAACGCGAAAATGTATCCGTTACAACCCTAATTAGCATACAGCCTCGCGCGAGAAACGCGAAGCACCCCTTCAGTTTTTACGCGTTGCCCCCCGCCATATTTTTACGCGGCGCATTTTCGGCGTGTTGCGGGGTGCGCGGGGTGTGCGCGGGGTGCGCGGCGGGTGTGCGCGGGGTGTGCGGCACGCGCGGGCGGGGCGCGCGAGGGGCGTGCGTGCGTGCGCGCCGCCAGTCGGCGACTGCCGGCGACCGCGCGATGTGCAGCACCACGCTCGCAGCACTACGCCGACACACGTTGCACTTACGCGCCTGACATGACCCGACAACGGTGAACTAACAAATTGACATTTTAGTTTTTTAATCTGCGACGAGTTTATTTTTTTTAAAGTGAAGTGCAGTGCCGCCGACAGGATTGTGCGGTTTCGGGTAAGTAGTATTTTTTATTTCTCTCGGTTATCAATTATGACGTTAGAAGTAGCAAAATTCGGTGATAGCTGGGAGCAAGGTCGTGCCAAATGATAATATTATTTGCACAAAAATTGTGTTAGACCGCGCCGGATAACCTCGTTTTAGGACAACGGACGCCGTTCATTTTGCATTTTTCTACGGCCACTCTTATTAGTTGTCGATGAATGACAACTTTTGTATAGCTACGTTACTTGTTCTTAGAAAAGATAACATATTTTTATAGAGCAATGCAGAGATACCTCGCTGTACGGTTGTCGCGACGCGACGTCGGCAACACACGTTTTTATAATTTAAAGAAATGGCGCGAAAATCTGTTTATATTGAAAAAATACACATACACGATAATGAAAATATTAAACATGAAAAATAACTTACATTATGTAATTCAGGATAAGAGGCTGTGTAATATTTAAGTTCATTTTTCTCTTGTATTAAAAACGGCTTTTCAAACATACATCGAAATATTCACATGTAAACAAGATGTATTTAAACCATTCTGACATAGTAACTATTTAAAAAAACCTTTGGAAAAACGAACTAACCTCGATATTCACGAGAACTGAGTTATATTTAAAACTGATAAATACAAGATAATGATGCACATGGTTTTCATTTGTTTTTGTCACTTTTACACGGAAAATAAATTTGAATGACATTAAATCGATCTGTTCAATTGCTATGAAGGTAACAATTATCTAAACGCTAAAAAAACATGTTTTCAAACGATCTTATTACACTACTATATCTAGGTAACTTTACTAATATTATAAAGAGGAAAGATTTGTATTTTTGTATGTATTCGATTCATATAAAAACTACTGGGCCGATTTCAAAAATTCTTTCACCATTTGAAAGGTAATTTATCAGTAAAATAGGCTAAGTTTTTCATTATTTTTAATTTAACGCGGGCGACGTCGCGAGAAACAGCTAGTAATTCATAATAAAAATATAAACCTATCTCAAGATACATTAAGTTACACTAGAATGTAAAGCTTACTTATGATACATTTTTAACTTGATTAGTTTTATTAATATATAATTAAATCTAAGTTGTAATTCAAAGTTATTGGCATTATCTACTACCAACAGCATCGTTCTGAAATAATTACTTTAAGGAAAGCGTATAGGATTATTCCCAACCGTCACCCCGCGCTGTCCCAACGAGAGAATAAAATATTTCATCCGTCCCACCCTTTAGTTCCACTATCACCAATAAGGTGACAGATGGAACCGTTATAAAATATAATAAGTTCCAACCGTCCCCTCGTCGCAGAATTTGAGACTGATGAAACTTTTTATTTTCATCTGTCTCCACGTAGGGACAGAGTGGGGTGACGTTTGGGAATAATCCGCATAGAACTGAATCACTAACTTATGGACTAACGCGCCCGTGTCCAGTTACTGGCAAAACTTAAACTAACTCGATCCGATTTCTAAAATATTATTGAATTAAGAGTAATACGTCTAGTTTAAACCATACAGCTTACGTAACTACTTGAAATCTAAGTGTTTATTAACTATTTATCTTGTAAGATTGGTAACAATCGATGTTCAATCGATGAGAATATCTCCCCTTCCATAGGAAGGGGAGATATTCTCTTCATGTGCGTCTCCTCCTCTGTTGGATAAGGGTAGGTAACGCATCTGCAATTGCGGATGTCTATGGGCAGCGGTCGCTTCGCCATTTTGGCGGATTCAGGTGGCCGCTTGCTCGTTTACCACCTTATATTATAAAAAAAAAATGTTGCAGTTTTTCAATTTAGAAATACAATTTTCGGTGTAAAGATTCCATTTTTCTTAATTGTTCATTTCATTCATCTACACCAATATAATATAGAGGAAAGATTTGTATTTTTGTATGTTTAGAATAACTCAAAAAATACTGGGCCGATTTTAAAAATTTTCACTGTTAGAAAGGTAATTTATCTCTGAGTAAAATATTTTTTTTACTTTTTAATTTTACGCGGACGAAGTGGCGAGCAACAGTTAGTTGTAAATACACGATGAGATTTATTTACTTAGAATTTTAAAACTTCAAACCTTATACACTTCCAGTTTTTATCTCCTAAAGGCAACAGATTAGTTAACCAATTCCAGATTAGTTGAAATGTTTGCCACAAAAGCATATAATGAATACAATACTAATAAAAGAAAGCCAATGGATACCTACATTATACGTGCGTATATAAACAATATTTTTCCCGCCACAAATAGAAATGACAACGCAAACGTCTAGATTTGTCCTTGTCCTTGCAAAGTTCAATACCTAGGGGTCTTACATAGGCTCGCGTCGCGCTTCTCGTGATAACGGACTACGCGTTAATATAATTAAGTTACTAGCTTTCGCCCGCGACTCCGTCTGCATGGAATTAACAAAAGTAAGTAACCTATGTGTTCAATATCTGTTCAGCAGTTTAGGCTACAAACTCTGACAAACATCCATCTTAACTTTTGCATTTATAGTATTAGTAAGATTTGATATTAATTTGAAATATTTTTATTTCGATTTTAGTATTGTGGTTTGAATGTGTCATTATGTATTTTATATACATTTATTTAATTTTATTATAAATTAAAATTTAGTGAAAAAGCTTAGCATGAATTTTTATATCTGGACTTTATAAAACAATGTTCGATTTCTCAGCTATCGAAATGTCCTATTTACATAGAGCTTGCATAAATGTACATATATGTTAAGACATGAGTCAAGGCCCATATCACTGCGTGGGAGACGAAAGTAAATATTATTACTAAAATGAAGAAAGCGTGTATTGTAAACAATAAATTATTTATTAACTAGTTGATTAAGTTTGTTGTACTTCCATGTAAGGGTGAGTTCCCACTACCCTCATTTGTATAGAAACATATTCCTCATTGTGTTGTAACTGCTATTTTTTTTTATTAAAAAGAGACATCTAACAACGGTTTGGGGCAGAATTTCACTGCTAGTGAAAAAATAAAAACGAAATAAATATAACCTTCAATATTATGTGTCTACGCAAACTTCAATCGTATAAAATAACCTCTTGATATAAATTAACTAAACATCAAACCAATCCATAAATGGATTAATAATGGATTGATATTTGGATTGCAACCCACTTTCTTTCACTCTACATCTAGATATGTTGCGCTCGGTTACGAGGACTTACAGCACCCAGTGTCGTGAATTGATCACTTAGGGATCACTTAACCATTTTGAATCCCGCTACTGATTTGTTTCAAAATATTACCTATTATCTCCATGACATATTTTTATTATAATCACGCCTTATTTACATGTTACTTATCCTGTTAAAGTTAAAGTAGAGTAAATTATTAAAAAAAAACAAAAGCAAGTACCCTATGTCCTCCCCCTTATGTCCTCCACCCTATGTCCTTAATTACAAGTAAATTCCTGGACGTAATGCAAACTAACATTATAAAGAGGTATGATTCGATTGTTTGTTTGCATTGAATAGGCTTTGCAAACTGAACTGATTAAAAAAAGTCTTTCACTGTTCGGAAAGTAACATTATCACCGAGTAACACAGGCTATATTTATTACTAGCTGTCGCCCGCGACTCCGTCCGCGTGAATTAAAAAAAAACAAAACAAGTACCCTATGTGTCCTTTCAGACTATCCTCTACATCTGTGCCAAATTTCATCGAGATCCGTTAAGTCGTTTAGGCTACAAACTGTAACAAACATCCATCCATCTAAACTTTCACATTTATAATATTAGCACGATATCTTCTATCTATACATATAATAAAATGGGAGTGTCTGTTTGTAATATCAAATGAAAAATTACAGATTTCTGGAAGATGAAGTATTTGCGTTAATGATCACGAAAATCGCATTAAAAAAAACTGTCTATCAGTGCACAAGCCGCGTTTGTTCGGGGTAATCTCCGAAACAACTGAGCCGATTTCGACCGAACTTTCACTGAAGGGTAGCTAACATAGACGGGCATATTATAGGCTACTTTTTTCAAATTCCGCGCTGTCAAAATGACGTAACGGGTGGTCCAAAGCATTAACGAAGTTTGCGGGCGATAGCGCATGTTATGTAAACATAGTATTTAAAGTTTTTTTTTAAGGTAGTTATAGACATATTACGTTTTGTGTTATTTTTTTATTTAAATTCATTATATCGGTACATTGCATAAAATGAGTACAGTAATTTTGTATGTGTTTGGCGATTCGAGTTTTTTGCAGACTATCCTGTTGGGTGACGTTTCGTCTAGTCTGCCAGTGATAGAGCTAGTACAGTCGAGCGCAACACTGTCTACTTACAATTACATTATTTTTATTACTTTTACACACTACATACTAATGTTATAAAGAGGAAAGATCTGTATTTTTGGATTTTTGTATGTATTGGAATAACAAAAAAATAACGAGCCGAATTCTTTTACCATTCAAAAGATACGTTATCGCTAAATAATATAGACTATATTTGTAAATTTCATATGGTCGAAGTCGTAAGTAACAGCTAGTTGTAAACTAAACTTCTAGGCAATAAATAAAGCGTTGTTTACGACTGTACCGATGAGATTAATAACATATATACTTATCATATAGGACTATTTGTGTTTTTATTATTTAAGGAAAATTAGACTAACACGTCAATTTAATTAATTTTAAGTTCAAAACAATAGTTAATCCGTTATTATTCAATTTTATAAATAATTTGCAATGCCAGTAGTCAGCGCTAAAATGTTATTTAGTAACTAGCTGTTGCCAGAGACTTCGTCCACGCAATATTAAGATAGAAATGTAACCTATATGCCTGTCTATGCCGTTGCCGTTTCTTAGATTACCCGGAACAAACGACGATCAGACAGTCAGACAGCCAAAAAATGTTTAATCGATTTTCGTTATCATAACGCAAATACACCGTCTTCCCGATATCTGGAATTTTTCTTTCAATATTAAAAACAGACACTCCAATCTTATTATATGTATAGATTATC